AGAGTATCTTCTCATATATTTCCTTATATTTGTGAACAGACAGATCTTCCAGATATGCCTTTGCTTCTGCAGAATATGTAAGATCATCTGTCTGGTGAGCGTAAAGTTTGTTCATTTTAATTATTGCATTTTTTAAATTATAATATTGGTTATATGTGGAAAGAAATGGTATTCTGAACCGTGGTTACTAGAAAGATGATTTCAGTTCTTTGAAAGCAATGAAGAACTCACCATAGATAACATCCTGCCTCTTGATAACGCGCTTCTCCTGTTTGCTGCAGAACTTGGGGTCTACATACAGACTCCAGGACTCTGCTTCATAGTCTAGCAAATCAGCACTGAAGTCACTGCGCAAAGGGACATCCACTGTGTCTGATGGTTAAAAAACAAGGCCAAGCTATTTTTACACACCAAACTTCATAACCAAAATATTCTAACTACTGTATATTCTATAAACAATATTGTCATACAACAATTCTTTAGCCAATATAGCACCCAGACTGATGAATCTCCCATAAAAAAGGCATTTGTTTGTTTTCAGAATTGTATTGTTTCAACGGTTTCTACAGTACACATGAGGTACACTTTCTGTGAATAATGAGACATAATTTACTGTACAGAATATAAACACACAGCTAGACACATGACGCACTGTATGTTACCAGACATATTTCACAGGTAAAGCACCAAAAATCACCAAATAAACTGCTGAAATCACACACTGAAAGACTGTTGAATAAGCAAGTCCTAATATACTGTAGCAGTTTGACATGTGAAAGCCGAAATTGCACTGCTTCTCATTCTGCCAGGTCTGTTTCATTTTGGGAGTTACTTATATTGAGATTGGAGATAGCCAAATTAAAATGTTCTTTTGCGGCATGTGAGCAGTGTGAACTCTTTTTATTCATTTATCATATGACAAATGAACAATTACATGTCACCAGTGGATTTCTTTTAAGTCATTTATTGCTGTGAAATCATAGTGACATTTCTCCTTTCTCTCCCTTTACTCTGTTTTGTCCAGCCTGACCTTGGTACTATATTTCCCATATGTCCTTTGTGTGCTGTGCTGGACTATTCAGTGCCGCCATCTAAACAGTGTTGAAAATGCCTCCTCACCTTCTATTATAAAACTGTCCGTGGAGGGTGATGTCCCCATCACCTGCAGGATCTCCTCTGATTGAGACCTGCCCCTCCAACTGCTGCTGTCTACATCAGCCTCCATACCCTCACTCAGCCTCCTGGGATAGAATAATATCAGAGCTGATTCTCATCATCACCTCTGTGGCTCACATTGTCAAAATTCAAATGCTTAGTAAGTGATAAAGCATAAAACAGGGGTAATCAGGAAAGAATACTGTACAAGAAAAGCAATCTTCTTTGATCTTAACAAGTCCAGTATATAGAGTACAACTGAAAAAGGAATACAAATAATAATCCTTAAATTAATAAGTATTAAAATTACAGTTTAAAAATCACAAATTATTAATGTAATCCACTTCAAAAAAGTTACTTAGGATTGAAATTATCTCCCTGTGCCTCTACTTGAAAAGACTTGGAACACACGTAAGATTAGATTCATGTAGTAAGTTAATAGGTTCAATTAAATGAGGTGTGCAGAACTGGAAATTCTACATGGGTTAGGTTTAAAATGGTGGCATTTTCACTTCAAATCACGTCTTTATGATAGATGATTTTTTTTTAAGTGATTTTTCACTTTATGATTCACCAGTTCAGGTTAAAGCAGAATTGTTCCATGTGTTTAAAATGTGACAATTTAAAACATCCAGAATTGTTCATCCCTGCGTTATACTATTAGTTTTAAGCACCTGCGTTTATCACTCTTCTGAATCTGATGAAATGTATTCAGGGTCTCTATGTGGGACCTGCTTACCGCTCAGTAACAGCAGATGCGCTCTTGGACAGAGGATGCGCCTGGTAGGACTGTTCTCTCTTCGTATCCTTGGCCATCATCACAGGGAGGGATGGAGACGAAGTGTTTAGTGAACCAGAAGAATGAGGGATTTCTCTTGTTGATGAAGCTGTACGAGCGAAACGACCAATTCCTTAAAGCTCACAATAGATGTGGCAGTGCACATAGGAATAAACATGTAAAATTACTTTGCATTAAGATTTATTTTAGAATTATAGAAATAAATATGAAAGACCAACTGATTTATTGAGGTCAATGGTAAGAAACAAATTGTATGATTCAGCTCACACTTTGGAAGTGAACTTTACGAGGCCTTCTGACAAAATTATGAAGGAATTTTGCAGAAATCCATAGAGCATCAAGTTCTATAGTCATTATCCTTTGAGAGTTTCTTAATACAATCCTGCCTTTTTATTTAACTTACAATAAACTTGATAATTGCTAGACAACAAGCAGAACTGCAAATAGAAAAGGCAACTCAGGTCGCAGGGATAAAGAGGATGTACATTATAACAAGATGTCTCAGGGGTATTTTAAAACAATTTAGTCCCAATGTATTTATAAACTAAGATGTGCACAAAAGAGGGTTTCTTACAGAGAGAATATAGCATTCAAAAAGCAGAAGAATAATGCAACTATTCTCTTTCCCTTTGACTCCTAATACAGGATGTGCTACTCCTCATATGGTACTGTAGGTTAGCCTAACCATATGGTAGAAAAAATAGGGCTTTTTGATGAAAGAGTAATTGTAAATAAGAATGCTAAACTTACTCAGTGGGAGAGATGCCGTCTTAGACTTTACTGTTACTCCATACTTATCTTGCAGCTTCTATGGAAAAGAAATACTGCAAATTAACACAAAACTGGTGATGGAAGAAATTGTTTTTAATAAAATAATATTTTCACTATTTTTAAAATCTGTATAATTCATTTACCTTTGAATTTTACACAAAAGAACTACAGTATACTGTATAATGCATGTTAAAAGACTGTATTACAGTATATCAATGGTAAACACATAAGTTTTTGAAAAAGACTGAACAGGTTTAGTAAGGTAAAATTCAATAAATACAATGACAATAAGGCTAGAACAAACTGGATGTGTAATGCAAACAAAACTGAAATAACTAAAACAGTCATGTGTGGATACAGACCAGGGATATAAACATCCTGTTGGCACATCATGCATGTTTACAACAAGTTACATTACCAGTTTAAGAATAAAAACCATTAATGCAACAAAGTAAGGAGCACTTGAAGTACTGGCGAGTTGGTCATAACAGAGAAGTCTTGAGCTGGTGCCATAAGGAGGTCAGAGCCTGAGCAGTCCTGAATTCTATGGGTTCATTTCTCCACTTAAGAGCAATTGTGGAGAATGAACAGGCTCTAGTCAACTCTATCAGTGTTCATCACACTAACACTACTCTTCTCCACCACTAATGCAGCAGTGGACACATGAATAAAGAGGGTTCAGACTGCCTCATCCTCCTGGCCAGACTGTCTCAGCTCTAGCCAAAGAGCTGACCTGCTAATATTGTATATCCACAACCATTCTGTCTCAGCCCCAGCTGTACTATTACAGCTGCTGTTCTTATTAATGGGTTTGTTCTCATTATTAATCTTCTGCTTTTGCACTGATATTGGAATTTGTTATTCTTAAAAAACTGCTGTTAGCCTTTTGAGCTAAGTAATATCTTATTACATGCTCGTACACATTCTTAATTACATTAAGGCAATGTAATTAGCCACACCAATAAAAATGCCCAAAGTCATACACAGAAAATAACATCTCTGATAAATCATAAAGGCAGAAAACTCCTCAAAGCACCTGAGTGAACAGAAAGTACCATAAATCCTCCAAACTCATACTGTATACTATCCCTATGTTAGTACTCACCGCAAATCTGCTAATTGCGCTAAAGTTTTGTGGCTAATTTTCCCTTCATTTCTAAACTATTCTGCCAGTGACTGCTCTATATGCACTACGTGAAAAATCAGATATTACCTTAAGGCATGGAGTGGAAGAATCTCGACAGCCTTTGTGTACATTGATAGTGCAATCTGACAAAGAAAAGCAAAACATATTATATTACAGCATTGCCTTCCACTATTTTTAAGAAAGACCCTGATATCAGATTTTTTTAAAGAAAAGTTTCTCTCTTGTTCTTGATTAAACTTAGGCATAGTACTAAACTGATGACCTTTGGAAACTGATTTCAATTGACCACAGGCTGTTTTTTGTTTATTACTTGGATAAAACAATTGTTTCCACACTGTACTAAAAATTGAGCTGCTGTGGACCAATTAAAATGTAATAGTCAATACTTGAAAAACATGACAAACTGAATGATCTCAACTTTGAAACATGCTAACTTTAACTAAAAGCTCGGATTCATTTAAACAATACTCACTGGAACACTGTAGGAGCTCTTTTCCGATGGCAGGTTTGTCACAGACCAAACACAATGTCAGCCCAGAGCAAGAACCAGCAAGAAACTGGTGTCCATTGACCAACTTTTCCTTTCCTTCTTTATCCTTGTTTTTCCCCTTGAAAAATCACAATAAAAAGTATACAGTTGAATATGTATAAATACATATGAATATTTGAATATGAACACAGCAAAACTGGTACAGTATATAGACACTTTTAAAACAGAGTACTAGTAGAGAAACAAAAGCCCTTTTCAGATTTGAACAGGAAGGTTTGTCTGTTTTACAATTACAATAATGTGATGCATAACATTATAGACCACATGAGCGTTGTTTTTATTTTCATGCTTGCCAGCTAAGAGAAGAGGGTTAATGATTATATAAGTGAAGTGGATTGTTGCTCCCGGAGTTTTCTGTTACAAGCTGCTAAGGTGACTAAAAAATCCAAGCATTTTCTTTTTTGCTTGAAAATGGATTGTATTATTGCTTTAATTGTGTTTTGTGTTGATTACAAAATGCTGTTCATAGATAAAAGCTCTAAAAACACTAAATGAAGTAATAAATCATCTTTGATTACATGGTTATGTAAGTTCTGTCAATCAGCAAAAAGCTCATGGAATATGCTAAAACTAACAACACTTCACTAAAAGTTATGTTTGTCAACTTGTACTGTATGCCCTTTTCATTTGACATACAGTTCATTCTTACCCAGCAACACAATAATACAGCAACATAAACAAGTCATAAAACTACAATTTCCCCACATGTTAATTCATTAATAGCTATATACAGTATGTATGGAACCCAAACCAAGAAGATGTCTTTTTTTTTAATAGAAAAAATAAATAAAAAGATTCCAGACCTCTTACCTGGTGACAGTATGAAGTAGTGGTAGTGGGCAGGATAGTCAAGAATTTCTAAAGGTAATTTATATGCTGTAGTATGTTGTACAATGTATGTGCTGTAGAATGGAATATGCATTATTCTACATTTCATAATAATGTTAGCTAAAGGCTGAAGTAAATATATTCTGTTTTCCTTAATTATCTGAGATGTATTATTCCTTAACTTCAAATCATTGAATTTACTTTTACATCGCACAAAGTCAGGTGTAACAGTGGTGCAGTGGTTAGCATTGTTGCCTTACAGCATTGGTGCCCTCGGCTCAATTCTAGACCTGGGGTGTTATCTGTGTGGAGTTTGTATATTCTCCCTGTATTTGCGTGGGTTTCCACCAAGTACTGTGATTTCTTCTCACAGTCCAAAGACATAGTGGTAGGTTAATTGGCTTCAGATAAATTGGACTGGGTGTGCATGTTAGTGTCAGCGTCTGTGTGTTTGCCCTGCAATGAACTGGAGTTGCACACAATACTCACTGACCTGAACTGAATAAGTGGTTATTGAAATTAATGTGATGATGGTAAAAAGTCATGAGAAACGACAGAGACCAAAACAATAGCTGTTCTTTATCCAGCCAATGTTTTTTTTTTTCAAATGTAAGGATTGTGTTGTCCACTTTTGCTAATATTGTACTGCAGAAAAAAAACTAAATCAAAACAGAAGATCGATTGGTGTTGGTAATTGGTAAATGGTTGGAACTGCCAAAAATGCAAAGCAAGCTTGTATCATGTTATATGAAAGCAAAAAATGCAGAAATGGAAATTTCAGCCAGCATTCCTTCAATGGTGTTAGGATTCTTCACTGGCCATGTCATGTGAACAACAGGCTTCAGTTTTTACCTTGTTCTTGCTCCGTGTGCTGGACATCCTGCTTTTCAGGAAACTGAAGGTGCGGCTCACTTTGTACTTTTCTGATTCAGACTTTGAAGGAATGATGTATTTATCCCATTCTTCCTCTTCAATTCTATTGGTATACAAACATATTTTTGCAAAAACAACATGCTTGAGGCAGGCATAACCACACAATAAAACTTAAAAATACAGTAAACTTCTCAGTCCCACCATATAGTCAGTTGTGTATTTGACTACATATTTTATTTCTAAATGAAGCAACACTGTACAAGACGGCCATATTGTTATTTTTAGATATAGAAATTAATTTCATGCAGTGGTGCAGTCTTCCAGAAAACAGTTATCTGGTTTCACCACTTGGCATTTTTCACTGGATTGAAAATAGTATAATCTTGCATTCAAAATACACAGCAGTTCTTGAATGCAGTTGTTTGTAATGAAACAGACACAATTCTATGGGTTAGTCCAGGCAGTTAACTTGTTTTGTGATCAACAGCTAAACATGCGTGGGTCACTTTTGGAATGGCACAAGTATAATACAAAGCAAAACCACAGAAGAAAAACTCCCACTGAGCCATATCCAACCACCATTTTCACAATTTATAAAAATACATGGAATAGCTAAATTCAAGGATAACTTGAATTTGAAGATCCCAGAAGATGTTTTGCATAATGCTTGAATAGCTGTAGTAGGAGCTCTTTAATTAGTGGGCACTTAATGCAGGGTTGGTTTGGTTTAGTTTAGTTAATGGGGTTATAACTTGCAAGGTTTTATTAATGGAAGTTAATGGCTGATGGCTACTACACATGCACTGTGCTGTAGAAGAGGACTGGGACGTACTCCTTGAGGAACTCGGAGAGAGTGAGGTGCTGAAGGGAGTCTGCCAGCTCGGCGCTGCCCTCGTCCTCGGCTGATTGAGCCCTTTTACGGAAACTTAACTCCCTACAGGAAACAACACATTTCCTAATGTTCCTGACCATGCAAAAGAAAAGCAGGATGGACTCCGAAATAAGTCGGCTGAGTGTAACTGAACCCCAACCTGCTTTTTAAATGGCTTCTCATCAGGGTCGTAACAGAGGGATCACCTACACCTACCTAAATGGAAAATATTTTTTTGTAAAGTTTGTAAAGTATTTGTACGAAACAAAATGTGTTTGTTAGCAAACTGACTAAGCTTATTAAAATGCCTACTGTATACTAACATTAAGTAAATTGTTTTCACTGATGGGTATCATACTCCTGCCATTAGCCTTATAAGTAGTAAAATCCATATTGATTGTTAAAATTTCCACTATTTGGAAACCTATACTGTAGCTGTCATTATTTCTCATCCTTAGTGGATTATAAACTGCTTGGTGAAACGAAGTGTCTGCCTGTCTTCTATTTTGTTGTCAATATTATTTTATATATGACAATAATGTAATTAATATAAGTTGAAAGCAGGCTCCTGCCCCAACCAAGAAGACTGAAAGGCCACCAATTTATTTCTTAAACCTAAAACTACCACTGTCATAGGGACCCCTACATTGACTGACATTAAAAAAAAAATTAAAGGTTTCATCACAAAAAAACGTCTTTCAGACTCACATATTGCTGTGACACTTTTTACTCCCATAAAGGGACATTATCTGGTTGGAAAAACACATCTTGCAACCTTAACTGACCATACATTGGTCAAACAATAAACTCCAATCCAGGAAGGTGTCATTCTAGTTTCTTCTCAGTTATATGTGGTTAGAGATAGCAGGTTGGGACTTGCTTGGAAGCCTAAGCAGTTTTCTAGTTATATATTACTACATTGAAGGAGAGTGCTGCATTTTCACTAAAATTTAACTTAGTAAGTTTTTCCAAGCCTTAACTGCTTGGAAAAAAAGTTGTCCCAATAATCAGTATTCCAAAAACATAAGCACAGTTTCATGGCTAAGGATCTGTGCCTGTGGCTGGAAGGTTGCCGGTTCAAATCCTGCGGCCAGCAGAGGAATCCTACTCCGTTGGGCCCCTGAGCAAGGCCTTCAACCCCAACTGCTCCAGGGGCACTGTACAATGGCTGACCCTGCGTTCTGACCCCAAGCTTCTCTCACTGTCTATGTCTCATGGAGAGCAAGCTGGGGTATGTGAAAAGATGAATTCCTAATGCAAGAAATTGTTTATGGCTAATAAAGTGATCTTATCTTAAGTAGAACAATTAAAGAACACTGCAACAAGAAGAGCTAAAAAAGAAAATGGATGGTGTAGGCAGTCTGAATCTAAAATGGTAATAACAATAGCTTTTACCATCGATGCCCACTCCTGGAATCTGCCAAATCAATCACTCAGTTATAGGAAACTTCTTGTACTGTATACAGTATATGAACTAAAATAATGCAATTAGCAGTTCTGAATGGTATGTACTATGTGCTGTGTACACTTTACAATGCAGCAGGTTTACACCATTATAACATTAATTTAATGACTTGGATTTACACCACTAACAAAAGATTAATGCAATGGAAAAAACTGGCTACTCATTTGAAAACTGAATGTAATGTAAGTCACTGGTACAGCAGTAAAATTGTGATAATGCTGAGAATTGTATAGAGTATTACTATTAAATTAAATCATTTAATGAATTTATTTTTACTATTATTGTTGTTATTATTATCAGACTGATAAACCTTTATGTTAACAGATTGTGTTAAGAATTAAAACATGAAATAGTTAAACTTATTATATTTCACACTTGTTAGCTGAATGGACACAGAAATGTTGGTGGTAACATCAGTTATAAGAGTTAACACATGAAATGAAATGTATTTAAATAATGTTAATTCTGTAGTTTTCCATAAAATATACTGTATTTTGAAATTTGCTTGGGGAAATGAAAACTGCTGAATAGTTTTGATTCCACTGTTTGAGGTTAAATGATGTTGATTGAACAATTCAGTACTTCAACAGTAACAGTTGCCTGTAGCTAAAGTATATGATAGTTGTTAGAAAACATACTAAAACTAAAAAGAAAAAAAAAACATTGTTCACAGTGTACATGAGTACTCTGTGTTTTACATTCTTAAAACTTTTTCAAATAAATTCTTACAATTTTAATTGATTGAATACTGACTTAAATAGGGTTTGAAAACTAAATATGAAGTCAATTGAAATACCTATTTTGGTTTTAATTTTATACTCCAAGGAGCTCATGCTTTTAGGAAAGCTTTGTTTTCAATTAATGTCTGTTTTTCACTCAATCAACATCACAGAACACTTTTCCAAAAACCCCAAAATAAAACTATATAGATGTGGCAACAGTAACTCTGAAACATTGAAAATAAAAAGTCAAGCTTGCATTTGCTCACATGTTTTAGGACTTGTTCATTGCCAGTCAAATTTCTTTCTCAATAGATGTATTCCTCGTACATCTTTTAGCAGAATATACAGCTCATGCTTTGCAGGACAAAGAATTGCAGGCATGACATTATAAAGAAATCTTTACATATGTCACAGAAAGATGGAGAAAAGATTAACAAAAAAGTCAGGTCCTGAGAGATTTATTTTTTTAAATAGTTTAATCTTCAAAGAAACCTGAACATCAGTATTATTGCTGTTAAACTTCAGAGGCTGGTATTTGCCAACAGCTATAATTTTCAGAACTCCTCGACTGTTAAACTAAAATACAAAAAAAAATGTATATGACCACAATCAGGCAAATGGCCCAGACTTTAGAAAGTATCCACAGAGCTGTTAAATGCAATAGCTAGGGTACAGTCAGTTCATAGGCAGACCTTTTGCTTTAAATAGTCCTTATCATGTACTTACTGTACTTTGTAAGGATTAGTGTTCCTCAGCACACTGCCTGATAAAGCTTCAGAATACCAAACATGAGCTGATATTTTCTGCATAGGTACGTACAGGCACAATATGTTTGTATATATAACCTACTGTATATGAAATTGCCGTAGCAATAGCTGCTTCAATTAACTTGAACACATTATACAAGAAAAGCTTTATGCTCATTTTATGCATACTGTATATCGTAAACGTACTGCATGCATAAGCCCTAAATATTGTGCCAAATATTTATATATTTTCACCGGGTAAAGAATTCAACAACAACTGAACAACTTCCACTACTGAACGTTTTAATGACTGAGCGTCTGATCAAATGCCAGCAGCATTGAACTTAGTAGGTTTCTTGTATGAGAAACAGATCCTTTCAAGGTAAAATTGGGACTTGAAAAGGGGTGAAAACTGGATTGAAAGCCAGCACTTTTTAGCCATAATAATAAGACAGGAAAATAACAATCCTTTTTTTTACTCAAAGAAAAAATAACAATTTTAAGCCTACAGTATATGGTTCTGTAAACCTCAAAAAGAGAATAAAAGTCTAAGACACTGAAATGTAACACCAATATAAAACTTCTACATTATAAATTTCTCTGAAATCTTTAACCCATCAGTCTTTGTAAATACCTTTTCTCTCTTGGGTGTTCAGGCAAGCTGAAAGCACGCTGCTCTGAAAAAGTAACACAGTAAACATGTCTTAAGTACAAAAACACACATTTTTATCAGGTATTGATAATGATTGAGAAGACAAACAACTTCAACCTGTTTACATCTAAATCAACAGAGTTCAATCTCTTTTTTCACCACTACAACAGCTTCAGATCCAGATTCAAATTCATTGTGACCAAAGTATTTTTACACAAAGAGTCCAATTTAAAGGACCTTCAGTTCAATTAAAATGAAAAAGAAATGAAATTCCAAACAGTCTGAGAGGCTGGGTTCTTCCTGTATAAGAAACTACATTGTGGTGAAATAAATAATTAAGAGACGTAAACAATACTTTTGACCTAGTCACAACAAACTTGAAAGCTGCGATTTAAATTGCTGTTTATGTCCTAGGCCCAATGCTTTTTTTCCTTTTGAAGAAAAACTATGTTGAAAACAGATGCTTCAGCAGACTGACAAGGCACATTTGAGAAGACAAAGAAACAATGAAACAATGGCTTTTAATGACACTGCACTTCCCATGTAGACACAACCATGGCTTAGACCAGCACCAGCAGTCTCAAGCTACAAAATGCATGCCCCTTGTATTAAACTAGAAAATTTCCAAACTTTCTGCAGAAAAAACATATAGTTAGTCAACATGTATAAGATTAAATTAAGATCATGCACTTTGTAGCATCCATCACCAGACCATTGATTTACCCAGCAATGCAGTCGCCACAGACAAATACTATATGAAATATGAGTATTTGTACATGAGAGATTACCTTCTATTACAACAAGCAATGTTGGTTACATGATTATGAGATGCTTTAGGCCTGGATTCAGTGAATAGGCATCTGATTTTCATGCAGTTAATTTGGTTGGCATAGCATTTGATTGTCTGGTATGTACTTACTAACAGGGTTGAGAAGAGACATTGATTTAGATAGAGACAGAGCCTGAAGGAGGGATCGGCCGCTGCTGTTGAACACACCATCTACAGAGCAAGGACACATGGCTCACTGGGAAATTGTTTGTATGTTTTAGACCCTGCCAATTTGGCATTGCTAATTATTAATCAACCTGGCTCACTGCTGAGGCCCTTGTTTTAGAAGACAAGAAATAATGACCAAGCACACTGTTCTCTGAAATGTACTCTTATCAGAGCCATTATGCACCTAACTGGAGCATGACAAGGAATAGGAAACTTGATGATGCCAGAACTGCATTCTCATACTTGCCTGGCAAGTCATATGGATATAGAGGGTAGGGGGTATTATAAACACACCCAATCACAACAGTGTGCTGCTCTTTTAGGAATTCCACCCACAGCTGGCTACTGACCTAAACCAGTGATGTCTGAACTATACTGCTCAACCTGCTGTCCAGTTGAGAACTTTCTTGATGTATCCCTTTAAGAACCCCTTGTTTGTGTTTTCTGTTTTACTTCTTTTTGTAAACGTGTAGAAAAGACACACGTAATTTATCTATCCCTATAGTTTCCATGGTACTTAAGAAACTACTCCACAATGCTCTTTGTGAGCACTTGCATCTAAACTAGAATGAAGCACTTGCAGAGTACAGGGGAATTATATTACTCCTTCTGCTTCATTTACGTCCAGAAATGTGAACATTAAAATATGAGCATTGTGTAAGCAGTGCTTTAAATCCTCCCTTTCCTATCCTCTGACTCATACCTCAACAATCAGAAGTCATATGAATGAAGAAGGCTTGATTAAACTGGTGACATTGCTTGCTTTTGACATAAATTCTCATACAGTACATGCAGTGCGGTTCATGCTTACTTCTGTTAGAATTTGTGTTTTATTTGATTACATTTCCTTTCAGAAAAAGAACATAGTCACTTCAGAACATATAACATGTTCCCACCCCAATTGCAACTGGAAAGAGAGTGGTTTAGAAACTGTCACGTTTTTTAATCCTACTGAGATAGTGAAATTCACATGCTTTGTGCAAACAGACAAAATGGAGGTTAGATTTCAAATATTTTCATGCACAGTGAAAAGTAATTGTAACGACTTCCTTGATTTTCTTGGGCCACAAACAACTCTAAAACCAATGGATAAAAAAGTCTGTTTTCCAACCTGATCAATTCAATCAAATAAAATAATCAGGACCTGATTACCCTCAAATCCAAAAATAGTTTAATTCCATGTACATTTCATGTATTAAATATTGCAGTACTGATATCACTTGCAACCTTTTCTAAACATGCTACTATACAATGAGGTCCAAAGACAAACCTTTTGAAGTCTCTTCAAAGTTAAGTTATTCAACAAGCATCCAAAGGCCACATAGAAATACATTTCTGCTCCATTTTCTATTAACGATGTCCGTTACAGCTGTTGTAGTTTTAAATATTTCTTGTTGTTATGGGAGTTTTAAAAGTTTTCTCCAGGTGGGAAAGACACTGACCTTCGGTGAGATCTGAGATGTTGGTGTCCCGAGAGAATCGCGGCCTGGAGAGGCTTATCTTGGGGGAGGAATAGGAGTAGGAGCGCAGCCGGATCCCAGGGTCCCCTGACTCCTGCGGACTGTGAACTTCATAGGCCTTGAAATTTACAAGAACAGACATTATCTGGATTGTGCTATATTACCACTGAGTAATGACATGAAAGACTCAGACAAGACACGTCCAAACACTATAACCTTTCAAATAAAACAATTTCCCAAAATAAATTTACTTCAGGCACATGTGAGTAAAGGTCATAATTTGTTGATTGTTTTTGGCAGTCCAAGGATATAACTGCTAATTGTCAAGAGAATTTATATTGGTTTACTTATGTAATCACATATTCTGTTTTAAGTCTAGTCTGGATCTTTAAAGGTAGAATAATTCAAAACTGAAGCATACGCTGAGTGTTTAGTATAAAGAAGCTCTTTGCTTTGTTTTTTGTTTTCTTTTTTACTCCTTGGTAACGTCTGACAAAAACAACCAAAAACTCTATTTAACTCATTAAAAAAGAGCACTACGTTTTAACTCTGGCATTTCAGAAACAACTGTTGAAAACATCATTTGAATGGTTTCATGTGTGTGTTATTTGAATTTCTATATATAAAATGTTAAAGGCTCAGATTAAGACCTGTAAATTTACAACCAAGTGAGTAAATGGACAGATGTTGATCCTCTTAATACATTACTAATAAACTTCAGATTGAAACAACCTTTTGACAGTCTACCTCCACCTGAATGAGCTGAGGGCAGTGTACCTTTGAGAGGGTGTTGGTATGTGAAGACAAGGATCTGGCCCTACTGGAGCTGAGCTCAGGGGAAGTGTCAAAGGAGTCCTGCTCGTCCGCACTGCTTGGCTGCAGAGCTGCAACGGACTGGGGAGATGTAGAAGCTTGGGATAGAGGAGATTTGTCTAATGTATCATCATCTTCACTGTCTACTTCAAGAGCGACCAAATTGGGGCTGTAACAAAATGAGAAAGTGTTTCATAAATAAAAAACGCAGGCTTCAAGTCCAAATCCTATGATGTCCACTTACTTAGACAGACTTAGGAATGACTTTATCACAATCTGCCTTGTGCCCGCTACTTGCTGGGACAGGCTCCGGCTCCCCCATGACCTTGAATAAAGTGGTTAGAAAATGTATGCATTGACTTCAACACACATCACAATAATGACGTATCTTGTCATCGTATCAAAATGCAACTAAATCACTTCACAAGCAATCTGTTTAATCAAAAGTACAAAGTGCAGTATAAATTTAGCTTCAAGCAAGTGAAAAGGAAATTATTTTTACATCCTGGTAGATTTATGAAGCTACTGTATATACAATAAGTAGTAACACTTTCTAGCTTAAATTAGGAAATTCAGAGATCAAGCCATGGCTATATCACTAGACAGCTGCGACTCAACAGGAGATTCCCTGAAGCAGAAACTGTTTCAGCAGGTCAGTTGTGGGTTACATGACAAGCATTCTCTCAACCTCCAACAGAATAGTAGCCCCTGCAAATTCCACCTGCAACGTTGGAGTTAGGTCACGTCTCTTCTTCAATTGGCACTGAACCACCTGTATGACACTGTAGAGCTACTCGCATGTCAAAAGATAAGTAGTATGGTTGGGGAGCACGTTGGAGGAGACTGTCCTCTTATGGGTACAAGGGGTGTAACTTTGAGTCGAGATGTAGATTGATCACAACAGAAGATTCCAAATTAGGTGATTTTGCAACAAAAATTGCAGTTTATTCATAAATAAATGTGTAAATAAAAAAACGAATTCTTGCTTAAACTGTATGATTCAACCTCAAATGCTCCAAGGATAACTTACCATAGCAATATTTATTCATTATTACTAATATATTATAATATATTGTTGGCCAAATGTCATTCTGGAACTCAATCTGTTATTTTAAAGTTTAGACTATTGAACTACAACTTATGTTGCTGTTACTATTCTTGGTAATTCAGTAATAATGTCATGTTCAGAAGCTGATCTTTCATCCTGAACAGGTTAAATAGATCAATGATTTGGAAGACGGATCAAGAATTTTGAAGATGTTTTATCACACTTGTGCTTTGCACTCTGAACAAAAGATTACCCATACAACAATTCTATTTTGATGGATTAGGTGCAAGCATGTAGCTTTTCTTCCCTTCCCAAACACCACTGAAGCACATCCAGTAGTAAAGTCCACTGTACTAAAGCATGCCATAAGCTGTAATCACTATTAGGCTTATTCTGCCTGAAACATAAAATAATTTGCCCTAAGATTTCTTACCTCAGTGTGCATGTGCTGTTCTGCGGTGGACTTCCTTCTTTATTGAAGACATGAGGCCGGTGTGGTTGATTCAGTCTAGCCAGTGCCAAGTTGGCAGGGGAAACTGAAGGAAATTGTTCTCTGTCTCCTGCATTGTTGCTCGTATGCCTTTCGTCACCACAATGTTCGGAAATGTGATTACAGCAGGCGGATGAACCTGCTTCCTCTGGGAAGTGAACTCCAGAGTGAGAGAGTCTTCCCTGTCTCAGATCTGATGCACAGCTGTCTGTCTGTGTGCTTTCAGTGGTGACCCCATCAATGCTGTATTTTATATCCAGGTCATCCACCTACAGTATAATGGAATCAAGAATTCAGAAGTCCATCCATCCAATTTCTAACTGTTTCTTTCAATTCAGGGAGAATTCAGAAGTCACAGAATAAAAAAAATATCACCACAGATGCTTTTCTTTAAATTTATAGATAGCTGATGAGGAAGTCACATTAAGCAACACCAGCATACATATGTATCTGAAGAAAAGTAAATTGAACTGTAATAGTTTGTCCACAATAGATTTAGATTTGTCTTTGCTTGATTCACAACTTTTATTCTGTTGGTAGGAAAAAAAAAATCCAAAGACTTACAGAACTATCGGCTGAAATAATTTCAATAATTACATATTTACAAAACAAAGAAGAGAATGTTCAAATCAACTCGGTTTTTTATTGCATACATTAATGTTTATTGTTCTTCCACAGAGGAAAGTGATGGACATGGGATAAATTACAGCTCAGGTATAAAGACTGGTCAGTAGACCACATCAAGACTCAGTATTAATAAAACAGAAAATTATTTCAAATCATTAACACCTTAACCAGAAAGCCATTAAGAAGCTAAAGCTTCCATACAATACCTTATCTACAAGCATGGAGTTGGCATAAATTTCATCCTTCCCATTCAGCATTGCCGAGAGTCTGGAAGCTGCAGTGAATGTGGAGTGTATCTGAGGTTTCTTGAAAGAAGGAGAGTGATTTTTTTCTGAAAAAAAAAAGAAAAAAAATCTAAAAAATTTCATTTTCCATAACTACTGGGAAAACATTTGAATTATTGAATCTTTGCACGTCGTCATTCTCTCACAGACGATGCTATTTTTTCATGCTTGTCTCCTTCACCTACACTGTACAAGACCCAGCCATGCAAATTGTACTGTAAGTTGTCTCCAGCAATATTCATATACTATACATACTCTACAGATGATCTACACAAGCTTAACATCTATTTTCAGATTAGATTCAAGAGCAAGGTGATATTGTTGTCATAAACACAAGTGTGAGATGCGTATTTAGTGATCTGAACACTAATAATTATTTTGCTTATTTTCCATTTCCATACAAATTAATCATTTTTAGATTTTATTATGTCAGTTAGTAATTGCATTACATTATTACCTTATACACTTCCATTAATGAACAGGACTAATGTACAGTAAAAAAACAGATTCTATTTTATGTATTTGTTCAGTGATGATGATGATATTATTAACAATAAATATACATACAATTTGTATCATACTCTCCCTTGTGTTAAGTAACATTATTGTGAGAGCTTTCACTGATCCAACTGCAAGTATGTGAATAGCTTTTCACTTTTCATTTTCAGTGCAAAAAATACTTTGTTGGTGAGTCTGCATTCTTTTCATTCTCACAAATGATCCCCACGGCAATATGGAAACTGAGTGCACTCTACCAAACATGTCAACACACTGACAGCCACGTTTCATTTTTTGATCTGAAAAAAAACTCAAAGAACACCTGTGGCCACAAAATAACAACATGAAAGCACATCAAAGAACTCTGAGTTACTGCAGTACAACATACAATTTTCTTTTCTGATATGCTTTAAAATACTTTTTTTTCATGTGCTTATCTGGCTAGATATTGTTGGATTACGGTTACCACTGCCGCTGCCTCACCTACAAAACATTTAAGAAGCAATTAACCCAGCCTGTTAAATCTCAGTAAAAAACTTAATTCACTGAAGGGATAGAAACATTTTACAAATTTCAAATTAAGCACAAAATCGTGAACTTTGTGAAAGTACCTTAAGTCGCCGTGTTGTCGCAAAAGCCCTGGTCTTACCACAGGCGAGAGTGAGAGTTCCCGTGAATTGTGATGTGATGTGGCCCTTCCTGCTCACTAGTCACTGTAATGACTAATGTAATATGATGTACGAGTGGATAAGAACTGGTTGTGCAGCAGATATTTCACCGCAGAAATGTTCCAACATGATCTGCATGTCGAGTTAACAAGTAAGTAGTATTTGTCAGTAAAACTGTCACAAAATCGAGAAAAATATTTCTATTGGATTAAAAGAGATGTACAGTACAGTATTCATAAGCCTGCTTGTTTACAATGTAATAGGGCTGCTTCACGTCACTGGAAGTTTTGTTGTCCTTTACTCTGAACATGGCACTGAGCATACCAGGAAATTTAATCTATTTTGTCATGTCAATTAGGGGTTTTACAAGTTACTGTGTACATTTTACTTTTATTGTGATTTGAAATGCAGATATCAATACTGATTCTTTCTAACCCGAATACAAAAATAGAGTCGCAGTACCATTTTAATACATTTTTTAAAAATACTCTAATTTCTGTATGGGGCTTATTGACAAAAATTGTACAGTATTGGATTTGAGAAAATCCTATGTGACCCAATACTGCTGAAGTAAGATAATTTATCATTTTAAAAATGTGATTAATCTACATAACACATACTGTATAACATATACAGTATGTTTCTGAATTAGGAATTTAGTAAAATTCAATTAATACAAATTACATTAACTGAGTAAAACTTGTATAAATCCATGTTGAAATAGGTCTTCACTCATTACAAACAGTTCTATTAATGATCACTAAGATTATCAAAGAATTTGCCTGAGATCATGGCTCAGCTATAACAATCATAAAACAGTATGCTCTGTTTTTTGCAGGTACACTACATAATCTAGCACACATTTTGATCTGTGAGCAAGGCAGTGACTACAAAGATAAATATAGGGCACTGCAGAAGCATTGACCCCATCCAATAATGTCTCATTACTCCAATCACAAATGACGCTTACACATTTAAAGTGAATATTTATCATCAACACTTGAATGCTCTAACTCAACACTTAGGGGTAAAGGAGGTTAAAAGCTAAATTAACATAAAAAATGAAGTGCTAATAAAGTGTGTATCTCTTTCCTAGAGTTATTCCCGCATCAGCAGGGTCCGGCTGTCGGCACACCAGTCTCCATTTGGTGGTCTGAGCCAAATCTTTGAGCTGACGTTGCCATTAACTGCGACTAAGAAATACTCCAACCGCCTGCCATCGGAGTGGGAAAGGGGGGGGAGGAGAACAAAGTAATGTAGCCAATTCATAGAGAGGGATTATTAGGAGACATGGGAAATTTGGCCAGGATGCCGGGGCTACACCCTTACTCTTTTCGAGAAACACCCTGGGATTTTTAATGACCACAGAAAGTCAGGACCTCGGTTTTACGTCTCATCCGAAGGACGGCACTTATTTACAGTATAGTGTCCCCATCACTATACTGGGGCATTAGGATGCACCTGGACCGCAGGGTGAGCGCCCCCTGCTGGCCCCACTAACACCTCTTCCAGCAGCAACCTTAGTTTTTCCCAGGAGGTCTCCCAGGTACTGACCAGGCTCACACCTGCTCAGCTTCAGTGGGTTGCCAGTTGTGAGTTGCAGGGTGATATGGCTGCTGGCCTGCTAATTTACAGTGTATTGATTATATAACTATTCAGCCTCCTAAATCAGTACCTGGTTAAAAGAACAAGGTTGTAAATTGTTGGGGGTAATTCTTGAACAGCTGTGCACACAGGGATTGTGCACATTTTGTCCCATTCTTCTTTACAAACTCAAGCTTTGTCAAGTTAGCTGGGGATCACTGATGGACAGCAATTCATCTCAGTTCCCTACATAAATACCAATACACTAAAAAACAACACACCACACACTCCCACACAGGGAAACAGAAAAAAACAAGGGATAAAAGGGTAAAACAACAGCCACAGACACCTCGCACACAAAAAAAAGATACGCACAGAAAAAAAAACACACCGAAAAAACACACAAAAAAAAGAAAACAAAAACTCACACCCGAAATTAAAGTTGGTTTCATTTAAAAAAAAATATTTTATCTTGCACACTGATGCCATGGCGTCCATAAACAGCCATTTATGCCATGAAGAAAAAATATATTTTTTTGCTATTGAACTAGATAATATTTCGTTTAAATTAGACACTTTTGCATTTAAACACGATAGTGCTGCTAACATCGCCAGCACCAGGACTCTCTTCATAAATGTATTACTCTGTTGGCTACGGCCTTTGTGCCATCCTGGAACTGTTTTGGCATTCCAGTATTCTTTTACATTCATATCTGTGCAAACAGATAAAAAAAATATTTTTGTTCTAATAGGCTTCTGTAATATTAGTATTAATTATTCTATATAAGTCTTATATGTGATCCATGAAATAATCATTTTGAAAAGTACTGCAATTAGATAAGCTTTAAACTCGCTAATAACAATGGAATACTATTTACAATCATAAAGAAGAGCCAAGGAGAACACCTCTTTTGTTACATTTCCAACTTACAGTAACCATGATTTTTTGTTAGTGTTGTCTTCTCTAATGTAATATATTAAAATCAAAGGACTGTTACAGTAGGTAGGCTTACACAAACAATAGAACATATTATGTGTAGCACTGGGGAAAATAACTTTTAAAAGTAATCCCTTACAGCCAAGCTTGTGAAAATGATCATAAAAAATTTAAAAGTCAACAGCTACAGTATTTCTACGTAGTAAGTTACAGTTTCTATGTAGAGTAGTATGCATTACTTACTGCTACTGTTTTTGGTTGAGGAATAGAGTTAATTTATATATAAAACTGTGACTGGGAGCTGGCCAATATTTGCTTTTCTCATGGGTACTGTCAATACTGCAAGTTAAAAGCAAATGCACCTACACAGGTGTTTGAAATATCCCAAAACAACTTTGCGTGACATCTCTATTTCCCATCAAGGCAAGCAAATACTGTTTTCTCTACCTTATTGCAAGCTTTGATTATACTATACAATTCCTTTCTCTGCTCAAAAGTAAAAGGACATCCGAAACTCATAAAAGAATAATGACTTCTCAATGTCTTTTTATATTTGATGTGTTGCTATTTTTTAATTTTCGGTTCACTTTTGTCAAAGCTCTGAATTTCACATTTGAATCAGTTAAAAAAACACCAGTTCTGCCTCTACAACTTGTAAGAAGTACTGTAATTTAAGCTCAGAGGTGAAAAATAAGTATAAAATCTGAAATTTACAATTCAGTTCAAAAAAGGTCATCATAAAATTAGAAGAAAAGTGATTTTTACAAATTGTCATGTATTGTTGTAAAATTGTAATGTATTGTCAAAGAAATTGTCATTTTGTTTTTGCTGCGATTATGACATTTAAATGGTTAGTACATGTTTCTCTATAAGAGTTTATCTGAGTATTTCCAATATAATACACAAAGCAATCTAGAGACATGTTTAGAGACTACAGAGATTTGAGATTTAAAAATGGTGCAGATTTCAGCAATGCCCTAACTGTGAAAAGCAATTAGATATACTGTATACAGACAACCCTCCTAAACACACAGTAGTGTACAAAGATAGGGGAAATTGTTGAAGGATGCAAGGCCTAGATGTCAAATAATATAATGTAACAAATCAGGCACATTAACCATTTTAAGATATAGGGCTTTTACTTCACATCTGAAACTTAGCTAAGCATAAACGTAGCCCATTTCTGATGAGAACTCAGACAATAAGTATATCAGAGCTTTGACCCATCTACAGTATTTTTACAAACTTCCAGATGCATCTCCTTATAATATAAATATATAATATATAATATAATATAAATATACTGTAAATAGAATATAAAAGCAACATAAACAACATAGGTTTGGAATTCCCATCTAGC